ATACAGCCTTTGCTTCTCCAGATTGAGAAGTCACAGCTGCGATGGCCTGGGCATGTGTTGCGAATGCCTCTAGAAAGGAAGGCTAGGCAACTGTTCCTTGCAAATCCGACAGGCAAAATGCCCAGGGGACGGCCAAGATTAACCTGGTGTAAACATAAGGAAGGAGTATGTTCCAGACTCCATTTGTCTTTTGCCGAAGCTCAGACTCTGGCACAGGATCGGGAACGTTGGAAGCTCTGTCTGACTCGTTTGCCTCCGCGACCCGAAAGGAGAAGCGGTGATGGAAGATGAAGATGCTTATTTACCGACTTTACTCAATAATAATCTTTTTGTATTTAGGTTTCCTTCATTTGCATAAATTGTTTATCCAGCGTGGGAAGCATGAAACGACGTGGACAGTGTTGAGGAACTTTGGCTACGACAATGCGCTCAATCTTTGCACGGAGTATTTGTATCCAAGGTGTTAATTTTCTTATTGCTAAATGTTTTGTTTGTTTTTAGTCATATTGAAAAAGATGGCAAAGAATGTGATTTTGTTCTGCGTCTGATAAACACAAGCTCATTAGGTGATAAACGAGTTTTCAAGACCCGGCGTCTATCTCAGGTTAAGATTCTCTTTGAAAGCGTTTAACATCGTCCTTTCAAACTGTTGCCTTGAGCCATGAATCAAGAAGTGAATATCGTTAACCGTTATTCAAACATGCAGTGAATTGATACCTCTTCCATTTCTATTTGATTCTCTTCAATTAAGGCAGTTGCTTCATTCTTAGGTTTCTCTGTCCGCAGCTAGAACGCTTTTTGGATCACATGGTAGGCTTTTAGCCAGAGTGGTTCCTTTAATGATATATAGATCAGTTGTATAGCAGAAGTTCTCACAACCTCTATGAGGAATGGAAACCGATTAAACCCACTGAAGGATGTATTTTTATGTGATCCTCTGGCTGGGTTCCCTGTGTTGCGTCGTTTCAGCCGCTCTATGACCAGTTGTTTTTTGGTGATGAAGACGCACATCACGACTAAGGGACTTAATATAGCAGTAGCAACTCAATACTAGCCGTACTGGCCGATCGTCACATCGGCTAGCGATCACGGAGAGCCTCCTAAAGAACGTCCTTGACATACTGACTGAAATATCGTAGTAGTAGCTTATTGCCTAATAAACCGGTAATTTGCGATTGCAAATTAGAACAATGTTTTCTGCTACCTTTCCTTTTGTTATGTAATTAGTTTCTGAAAATAATTAGCATATTGTTTTACTTCACTTGTCATCCATCTTTCTATCTTTTACACTGTAAAAGCTACAGTGTAAGTTTGTACAGTTATCTTGTCATAATTATTATACTACAAAGTATTATGCGCTGTATCTAGTGAAACTACTTTAGAAATAATCTTACATGCATGTTTTATGAAATTGCATCAGTTGTCGTTCATTTTAGGCTGAACGTTCCTCAAGGCTGTTCCGCCGAATTGAACTCGAATGGTATTATGTTTCTTACTGCTCTGTTTCAGAAATATGATGAGGTAGTTTGCAGTTATTTTGACTACATTATTCAGCTTTAATTATTACAGGACAAGGATGGATGCCTCAGCCCGGTTGAGGTGCATAACTTATTCAGCGTTTGTCCGTTGCTCACCTGGCCTGCGGAGACCTATCGAATGGTCGAAACCAACGAGAAGGGTTGGATAACGTATCAGGGATTCTTATCATGCTGGATGTAAGGTCGTTTATTTAATTGGTAGATTGCGTTTTATTTGTTAGCTGTGTTCTGCTTAATGCCACGGTTTTCTAAGATCCTGGCCATGGCTCCATGTTATTTGAGCACCTGCAGTGCATTACCATAAAGCCGTATCACCGTTGTTGTTAAAACATTGATTGTTAAAACATTAACACAAACTGACTGACATACTAGGTAGAACAAAGCGACAAAATATGGAGTATAAACAGGATGCCAAAGAAAGTTGTAAATAAATGTATAAACAGAACAACTGAAGCAATTAGTTATATCACATGCTCCAGATATGTACCCGGTACCGCACAGTCGTTGCCGTTGTAAATTCTTGTTCGCTCGTAAAGATGTGCAGTCACTGTTGGATCAGCAGTTTCATCCTGTATCTTTTGCGATTGATCTTCATGATATCAGCTTCATCCAGTCGATGGTCATTTTTAGGGCAAGGTCAATGAAACTAGACCCTTTGAGATGGAGGTTTATGACGACTTATGTTGGTTTAATTGACATTTGTGGCATTGCTCAATGTGTTTTCTCATATAATTAGGCTCATAATCTTTACTTACGTATTTCTCTTATGCCGCCTTATGCTTACTTTTGACATCTAATGTTCAGTAGGTAAAATTGATGCATTTACGAAATTCCACTTTGCCGCAGTAGACGGCACAAACGTTGGCAGGTAGAGCTAGCTTCAAGAGACTTTGATCTGGGATTGTAGACGTTTTTCTGGGCTTGGGCTCAACTGTTCTGTGGACCCCTTACCGATCTGTCGATCGTACACTAATAATTAGATAGCTAAAGACCATTCAAGCCGACGTTTCATTTTTTGAGTGTTATTCAGCTAAGTTTCTGGTTAATATCGTCTTTTAATGAACTAATTCTGAATCCTCTATCAATGCCTATAAGTGTTTTACCTTTGATGAAAATGATTGGCCAAAAAAATGAATGTGAGAAAATATATATATATAAGTAACCTGATTTTACCTCACTCTCGTCCTGTACTTTGTGTGTTGTAATATTTGCCCTACATTGATAATAAGCTTTTTTGGAATGAGATTAAGTTAGCTGGCTGTACGAAGTTCGCAGTAGACGCTTTATGAAATTTTATAATGCATTGTTTCGATATGCTCTATCAGCAAAACTACAAAGGTATAATCGTTAAGAGCCATCATATATGCAGTATGCCCTGGTCTGGTAACGTCCTGAACTTATGTTTCTTCCAAGTTTGTTTCAAAACACTTTGAGAATCGATCTCACCGTTGCCGTATTCGTCAACGTTTTCAACTTTCCGGTTTGGTGTAAATTTACCAACCACTAGTGTTGCAGGCTGACCACTTTGCTCGACTACAACCAGATGTTCGAGTACCTTGCTTATTTTGGCTACAATGACGCCGTTCATAACCAGACGTCAGCGGTGACGGTGACGCGTGACAAGCGAACGGACTGGCAGAAAAAATTCACCGAACGAAACGTGTTTCGATGTCAGGTTATAGGCTCCAAAGATGCCGGCAAGGTAAAACCGTATTAACATAACTATACTCAAACGATGTCATCGTATCCTGTCTTTCATTTTGTCCTTGATGCTGCTTTTTTCTTGTTTTAGACATCTCTTCTGCAGGGTTTCATCGGTAACGATGTACAGGTACTGAAACTGAGCACATATTCTTATATACATTTCCATGGCGTATTGTTCTTTAGCGAATGACCGCCGTTGAGAAAGCTGCACTGCCTCGCTTTACCGCGAATTCCCTCAACGTCTGCGGACAAGAAAAATATCTTGTGGTAATCCTACTTTCGTGTACAATAATCTTTCGCAGAGAAACTTGCTGTTCTGTTGTACATATTCTCTATGCCACTTTGTCAGGCCATGAAATGTCCTTTGTCGTTGATTATGTATTTTCTTTTTCATTCCTTTTTCCCTTATACACAGCTGTGCAGGAACATATCACCATTTATACTGATAGTTATATGTAACAATATGCGTATACCTCATCCACTTAGAAGGAAGACATGATTGTATAATCATGGTGTGCTTTATTGCGCTAAATTTCTGACATCTAAACAGTGCTGTTTCTCGATTTATTGGTATCATTTACGTCATGCCCATAAATCCTCATCCGCTGCAGATGGCACTCGGAAAAGATTTTGTCATTCTTTCTTCAGGGTGTATAAAACCATTGTATATATCACTGCCAGATTTGTTGTTTTTGTCTGTTTTATGTTTTTTTTTTATTTCAGATGCACGAAATCGATGTCTTGGCACCCGAAGAAACTCTCTGCACGTATGAGCTTCAGTGCGACGTAGTTTGCTTGGTTTATGACGTTTCAAACCCGCATTCCTTCGAGTACTTCGCAACAATCTACAAGGCACGCTCGGGTTTTAATTTTTCTGTTTCGCTTGCCAAAGTGTTTTAGTCGGTCATTCTGCCGTTTCATCACCTTGGAACTGGGAGTCCAAAGGGCATTAAGGCAAATGGAAATCAATCATGGACTGCGAGATTTGAGTGGGGTGGGGAGTAGACATTATGTGGTAGAACAACATTTCAGTAAGCACTGAATTTTAAGCTGAGACGCTATGTTAGTCGGGTCAGACATGATCAATCAGGGTAACTCTGTAGTTCATGCATTTTTCACCATGTGAGGGTTGCTGTGTTACTTCGAACGCTAAGTTGAGCAGATATCGTGAAACCCAAGAAGCACGTACTAAATAGATGGCCAAAAACATGGAAATACAAAAAACAAATCTGTGTCGATAGGTTCATCACGAGGGAGCGTTAATTTCTCTTATAACTACCGCTTGCTTGTCATGAACCTATCGACACAGATTTGTTTTCTTTGTTTTTCCATGTATTTGGTCACCTATTTAGTACCTTCTTCTTGGGCTTCACGATATCTACTCAACTCAGCGTTCGAAGTAACACAACGACCCTCACATGGTGAAAAATGCATGAAGTACAGAGTTACCCGGATTGATGATATCTGACTCGACTAACATAGTGCCTCAGCTTAAAATTTAGTGCAGAAAATAAAGATTGATGCGAGAAATTGAACCATCCTCTGGACGATGCTTATTGCAAGGTGTTGTAGGAATCCTCAGTTTAGATCGAATGGAGATTTTCCGTCAAAAAACAATCATATTACTTTAATAGAATTGCGGTTACTTTATAATTTGTTATAGTCCTTTTTAACTTTGCTCTAGACAGATCGAAGTTTCTCTGTTAGGACTGTGACTGGGCCTTCTTGGCCACCGCACAGGAGCAACAGCGGAGACTTGTATAATTTTCAAAGAGTTCCGAGACTTCTCCTTATGGAGAGAAGTGCAATGCATTGCAAAATTTTTCTTGAAATTACAGTTCTGAAAGTGAATGAATGATCGAATGAGGATAGCCAGCGATTGGACATTTTGAAGCGGTTTTTCTCAGTGACATAGCAAAAATAGCAAGCTTACAATGATGGTAACTGGATGAACCATGATGACCGTTTCCGAACTCAGTTTGCCATTCGTAGCAACTGCCCCAGACCATCAGGGTTATATTTTGTCGTTTTATTTATTCTACCTATAGAATTTGCAAGAAGCAACCGTTTTCTGATAATTTTGCTTAATTGGATACTGCCAAGGGTATCTGCTGAACGTCTGTTTTACCTGTAACGAAATTGCGAATGACTTAAGACGAAGTTGTTGCGCCATTTTCAGAACTATTTCCACCGCACTCGCATCCCTTGTCTCGTGGTTGGAACGAAGTGTGACTGTCGTGAAGTTCTACAGCAGTTTGAGTGTCAGCCATACGAGTTTTGCAAGAAAAACCATCTGCCTCCTCCTGTAAAGTACAGCGCAACGATGACTCGCTCATCGAACGTGTTCGTCAAAATAGCGACCCTGGCCAACTACCCGTAAGCGGTTTGTAAATTTATTTCGTCTTATGGTCATATTTATAGTCATTTAATTGTTTGACTGTTGGTTTAACGAGTCAAGAGTATAGCTTTTCTTGTGCGTTTCTATTCTAACAGCGAAAGTCATTTACTTATGTTCGGTATGTGTCACTGTTATTTTTATACTTAGTTGATACTGGAGAGCGGTGTCACAGTGGTTGGCTTTGAACCTTGGAGGTGCCTGGCAGAGAAGAGACGATCCTTAAGAGGGATCCGGAGAAGGGACGATCTTTGTATTTACTGCAAATTCCCTTGAGCAAGAAATTCAGCTCACGGTGGTTCAGTGCAATCAGCCAATAGTGGGGTAACATGTCGACCTGCGAATAATTGGGGTAGAATGGTATTTTGGTGAGATCGTACCGGAATGAATGAGATGTACGACCAGGCTATCTGATACGAGTACCTCATAGCGTCGCAGTTCGGCTTGACCAATCTTACACCTGTTTATTCATTGTGATAATCTGCAGAAGGTGTAACCCCTGTTACATTTGTCGCATATTGACATACTCGAAAATCCTTGCGTCAAGAATGTAAACGTAAGCGGGCCTACGTGTTAAATCTACCTTGAGACCCATGGCCAAATTAAATTGTTATTGAGTATGCGATAGTTCGTTATATTGCAAGACACAATCTTACGTCTGATCTGAAGCGAGCGATAATCACTGTCAGGACTATGATAATAATGATAATGATGGTGACTATACTGATTAGGATGCCCACGATAACGACGATGCTGATCATTGACAGCTATGAAAGATGCAGTTTGTGTTTATTGTTTAATATGCTTTCACATACTATTAGCTTGTTATTGTTTCAACATGCTTTCACTTCTTAATCTCCTTCTTTCAGCCATATAAAGCATATTTATTACCTCCACGACAGTTCAACTTGGTTGAAGTTCAGCGTAGCCGCAGCTGCCGCCGCATTTGCCGGCTTTATTATATTACGGTAGGTCGATAGGACGATTTGTCTTATAGATTTTTTAAATTCTGTTTGTTTTTATTTAGGCATATTTAATAACGACTTGTGCGACTTCGAACATCATCGTTTTTATGAACGTGAACTTGCCTTAAACGTTGATGTATATTTTGAATATTTTGACACTTCCTTTCGAATAAACTTCAAATATTATTTTTTACAAATTCTGTTGGAAATGTGAAACGCGTCATGAAACTGCTGTTACTTTGAACAAATGCTTGTGTTGTTTGTGAAGTGTGCACATTTTCAGCCTTTTGTTGTGGCGGTAAGTAGATTCTTAACTTAAGTAAGTTTGGCTCCCCAGCAAAAGTTTTATGGGATCGAAACGACTGTATGACAGATGCGTTTTTTTTATGATCATTACCCTGAATCGTTTGTGTTTGCAGTACCTGTCAGGAGTGTGATGACGTGCTATTATTGTCCGCTGTATTCCTGGCGGTTTATACATACATACATACATATATATATATATAGATGTAGATAAATGGACTGCTCTGTTCAGAAATGTTACTGCAGATTTTCCATGTCTTAACCAGCCAAGCAGCGATGGATCTTAATGCTTCTCTATTCCTGACATTGTGATTTTTTTCGGCTTTCATTTCCACAAGTCTCATTCTCCACTCTTAGATGGTTGATCGAAA